CCCCTTTGATGTTTATCATGATTACCCCCACTTTCCCTTCGGTGAAGTCCAGTCCTAGGGATCCTGCATCCACTCACAACCTCCACTGTGTTCTTTCCTTCCATTTCACTGATACCAGTCCTAGGGATCCTGCATCCACTCACAACCTCCACTGTGTTCTTTCCTTCCATTTCACTGATACCCGTGCCGTTCCTACCTCCGATGGGGACCTTCCTCCCGTTTCTCCCACCAACCCCCAACCCATCACACAGATCAGTCCGTAGGTTCCGTTGTTCAATCGTGGGGGTGGTGGGCGTTCCCACGGGCACCCGTTCTGATACTCCATCCGATCGGCAACCTCCCTTCTCTCCTTCTATGGGGCCCGATGCCGTTCCTAGTTTGCCGGTGGCTTTCTCCTCCTCACGCCTTCGCTGCGCTGCTGCCTGGGAGCGCGTTACTAGTCCTATGGTGGAGCGGCTACGGGTGTTAACCCCTTGCGCGTCCTTTGGGGGTGTGGTTACATTGCGCCAGTCCGAACAGGTGTGGTGGCATGGTGGGGGTCTCAAAGATGTTACCTCCCCCTTTCTTGCTGTCTCCACTGTCGTGTCCTGGGCGGGGGGGTTTGTATGGCCCCTGGGATGGTAGCCATTCCATCCCCCGGGCAGCATGCATACTGTCCTTGCTCCCAAATGCTGGTCATGGTGCGGAGGGAATCCTTTTGTGATGTCATTGGCAAGGATTTGGGTGTGGGAGCAATTATGTAGGCGAAACTTCTAAGAGGTTAAAAACACGCCTACAAGAGCACAAATTGGCAGTTAAATGAGCGGAGCCGTACTCCCAGATTTGGACTCACATGTCCGAACAAGGACATGGTTTTGATTTTGAGAACACCCAAATCCTTGCCAATGACATCACAAAGGGAGGTCGCCTGCTAAAAGAGGCATGGTTCTCAGGAACTGATTCCATCAATCGCCATGTCGATTTGTGCCCCACGTATCAAGCCCTGAGAGCGTGGAATGTCAGCCACCGCACAGACGGTTTTGGCGGATCCAACTTTGAGTTGCATGACCAGAAGAAGATGATCCCCCGGCACCTGCACCCCCCCACCAACTGTCCACCCAACACTGGATGGACAACTTCCACTGGGTCACCAACGGATGGTCCTTGATGAACATTTTCCACGGGAACCGGCAAGGCGTCTGAAAAGCAATCTTGTCATGGAATGGAGCAACAACACACACAACAGTGGAACAGAGTTTGAAGGACAAGAGGATGGAGGGTTGAAAGATCGTAATAAAGAGGAACTACTTTTCAATGGCACCAATAGGCATAGGATGACAACTCGTTCAAAACAGAGGGAAGGACAACATCCCCCCCCAACGCTTTTAGCAACTCCCCGGCACCGGTCTGAACAAGTGAGCGCTGGTTACGGAGGGTGCCCAGGAGGGGTGTGAGGATGAGGAAACAAGAAGGGGGCGTATGCCACGCAGAACCGAGGTGGGCAGGAGAGAAAAGAGAGAACCTCCGCTATGGTACGAGGGCAACAAGCAGGAACGGAGTGGAGACGCGGCATGTAAGACCAAAAGGGATGATCCCCCCCTCCCCTCTCCGGACCTGGGATGCAATCACGTATGGAATATGGGAGGTGCTACACGAAAGAATGCCGGCAGTTGCTGGCCCCTGAACATACATAACCTTATAACAACGAAGGGAGCGGCACGGGAGGAAACACAGGCTCGGAGAAGGAGGGGGTTGAATGATGACGTGAGCAGTATGCTGGAAGTATGGCAGGATCAGCTGGGGCCTGTTACTCGCTCCAGGAGCCGTAAACTGACGTTCGGCAATGATATATAAGACTTCAACCGGCTGTTGCCTTTTAGCCCTGACGATGTCAAACGTTTTGTTGACGAAAGCTAGGTAGATTAAACATTTTATATGTATTCTCTTGGCGGTCTGTATTTATTTTGATATTATGATTTTTCCCAAGAGTCGAGTTTTTAGTTTTATTCATATATATATATATATATATATATATATATATATATATATATATATATATATATATATATATAGGTAACTCCATATTTAAAACCAGTGAGCAAACACGAGCACCAGGGAATATAATAAAATAATTTAATATTAAAATTGCCTAATACCCCCAGGAGACTGAGGA